TTCCTTGGTGGGAAAATGCAAAATGGCACTTTCTAATCATTATTCTTAATACATATGTGTTCATGTGTGTAACTTTAAAGCTGAGAAAGCCTAAACTGCTGAAAGGGTTGTCACCAGTCTGATACATGATGCCATTAGATACACCTTTTAAAAAAAGATAATACTACTGCCTTTGCCAGGCATCTTTTAAATTTTTATCAAATACTTTTAGTTTATTAACAATAATTACAGATAAATTAATGTGAATGGTAACATAAAAAGTGAGTAGTAAGCACAAACCTAGCTATATAAGGAAATGACAGAATTGCCACTGTCAGAAGGAGGTTTCAGGAGAAAACAAACTAAGCAGAATCTCTGGTCACAGTTTGGCTTGAGCTTCCCTGAGAGCTCCCAACTCTTAAATATGAATAGATAATGAATGGCTAAGATAAGATCCTCTTAATCACATGCTAACAAATCCTGGACCTTCTGAGGATTCTGTGGTGTAAATCAGGCTGGTTCTTACTAGCACGGTGCAGGCTTTCTCAGGGTATGTTAAGTTATTTACCACTGAACCATCCACTTCCACCTTACAAAATATTGCACTGTTGTCTCTTCTGTTTTCTTCATCTCTGTGGGTTTATGCTTAAAAGAATTCTTTCATTATAGGTTTAGAGGTGTTTGGGGAGGAAGCAAGATGACATGCACATTTTTAACTACCATCTTAAATGACAGGATATTATTTCATTATATTAAAAAAAAAAAAACAAACCTACCACCATCAGGTTAATTCTAACTCCTAGCAACCCCTGTTGGGTTTCTGAGGCTGTAAATCTTTATGGAAGTAGATTGCCTCAACTTCCTTCCACAGAGCAGCTAGTGAATTTAAACCTTCTGGTTAGCAGCCAAATGCCTTACCCACTAACCACCAGAACTCCTTATAGTATAGAAAACCTCAAATTAACCATTCCTCGGTAGATGAACGTGTAGTTTGTTTCAAAATTTTGGACATTACAGACAATACTGCAATGACCATTCTTTATACATTTGCCCTTACAGCATGGGTTCTTTGGGAATGAAACTGATATGGCCTTTCCGGAAAATTACCCAGGAATGACTATCAAAATCAGAAATGCCTATGACGTAGGAGTTTAGAGGGTATTTGTATCTACAGTTTTGATATATATTATGAAACTGTCCTCCAGAAAGGCCATCTTAACTCACTTTCTCATTACAGAGCATGAGACAGCCTGTTTCCCTCTATCCTTGCCAATGCTGGATGTTTTTTAAAAATCATTATCAATCTGATTAGCTAAAAAGTTTAGTTTTCTTTTAATTATTAGGGAGACTGTATAGCTTTCCTTGTTTACTGGATTTTTATTTATTTATTTATTTATTTTTTGGTGATTTGGGTGAAAATTTACAGAGCAAATTCACTTTCCATACAGCAGTTCACATATACTTTCTCTCATGACATTGACCACAATTTACCACAATGCAACAGCTCCCCTCCCACTCCCTCCTGATAGTTACCTCTTCCCTGTGTCCATCCCTCCATGCACTCCTGCCCCTGAGCTATCTTTATGTGCATAAGCAGCCCTTCTTTCTCCCATGATTGTTCTCTCCAAGGCATGTATCTACCTCAGGTAAATGTTCAACTCCTATGTCTGTCTTTTGTTTGCTGGAAACCACGGGTGTGAGTGCAATTCCAGACCTGAAGGGCACCTAGGGGCCACAGTCTCAGTGGTTTTCACCAGGCTCTATCAGACCAGCAAACCTGGACTCCCCTCTTTTTTTTCTCCAAATGATTTTGAGTTTTGTTCTACATTGGTCTCCCTCTCTATCCAGGATCTCCTACACAGATCACCTTCCAAGTGGTTGACAGTGGTAGCTGGGCACCATCTAGTTCTGGTCTCACAGTCACACAGGCTGCAGATCTGATGGTGTACCAGTCACTAGGACTAACTTTTTCCATGAATTTTTGGTTTTCTTCATTATTCTTTGCTCTGGATGAGGAAAGACCCATCATTGCATCTACATGGCAGCTTGCAAGCTTTTAAGATCCCAGTCGCTACTCGCCAAAGTAGGAGGTGGAACAATGTTTTGTGTAGTATGTTATGCCAATTGCGCTTGATGTCCCCTGCGACTATGGTCCCAAGCCCACAGGTTCAACTACTCGATCCCTCTGGGTGACTACCACCTTGCCCCTTGTCAGCTCTACTATACACCTGGGAATTCAGATCATACAAATAAACTTATAGGGCCATTGTCTGCCAACCCTATACATGGTCTTGGGTACACCCCCTGCTTCACAGACATGCCTACTAGTTCAGCCTGTCCGTTTACTGGATATTTTTATCTTTTTATTTCTATTTCTTACATACATATGTGTATATATATATGAGTGTGTATATATATATATAGTGATTTGGGCGGAAATTTATAGAGCATATTGGTTTTCTATTCAACAATTCATACACATTTTATTTTGTGGCATCCATTACACTCTCCACAATGTAACAGCACTCTTCCCATTTCCTTCCTGTATTTATCATTTCCCTTCATCCCTCTTTGCTATCCCTTCCTAATTCCTGAGCTTATGCTGCCCTTTTGATATTGTACAGCTGACTGTTCTAAGGAGTGCATACTTCTCTGATATTACTGTCACCTTATAGTCTTGTCTATTGTTTAACTGAAAGTAGAGCCATGGGAGTGAGTTCAGTTCCAGGCTTGAAGGGTGACTAAGGGCTGTAGCCTTAGGGATTTCACCAGTCTTCATAAGATCAGTAAGCCTCGTCTTTTTTTTATGATTTTGAGTGCTGCTCCACATTTTTCTCCCACTCTATGTGGGACGTCCTATTGTGATCTCTTTCAGAACAGTCAGCAGTGGTAGCTGGGCACCAACTACTTCTTCTGGTCTCAGAGTCATGGAGCCTAAAGTTCATACGGTCATTAGTACTTTGCTCTCTGATTTTCTTCACTCTTCTTTGCTCCAGACAGGGAGAGACTGATAGCTGCACTTTAGATGGTCGCTCACAAGCTTTTTAAGACCCCAGTCCACTACTCAGCAAAGTAAGATGTAGAACATTGTCTTTGTAGATTATGACTTTAGTGTCCCCTGAGACTATGGTCCTGAGCCCTCATGCCCAGAAATTCATTCCCACAAAGTGGTTATGGTTAAGAAATTTTCATAATGTTGAGTCTTTTGTAACGTATGCTCTGTTATATTCCTGGATGTATCTGCAGCCCATATAAATATATATATATCCTCTGTCAAACCAATATATATTCATGGGTGTAGTCTCATTCATCTTCCCACCCATATTCAGCTTGAGTGTTTGTCTATTTATCCACTTGTAGATTATTATTACTGTTATTGCAGGATTGTGTATGTAATAGTATTTACCTTTGTTGCTTTTAACTCTTGTTACTAAAACCAAAAAAACCAAACTCACTGCCATCGAGTCGGATCTGACTCACAGCGACCCCTCCTTGGGTTTCCAAGGTGGTGTCTCTACAGAAGTAGATTGCCCAACTTTCCTTCCAAGGAGTGGCTAGTGGGTTTGAACCACCAGCCTTCTGGTAAGCAGTCAAATGCCTTAGGTGCTACACCACCAGAGCTCCTGTTAACTCTTGTTACTAGGTATTTTTAATACGTCTATGAATTATCAATTCATATCATTTGCCTTATTTTTCTACTTGATAATCTTTTTTATCATCTTTGTAGGAAATACTTATATACTACTACAAATTAACCTTTTGTCTGTTTATAGATCGCTTTTCTCCAGTCTGTCATTTTTTTAATGGGCCTTTTGATCTCCAGAAATGCTTTAACATTTGTAAATTCTTTACATTATAAAATGCTTTATGGCTTCTATGTTTTCTTTCATGAGTAGGAGACTCCTATCTTCTTAAAAGATTGTAAAAACAGTTCCCCATTATTTTTTTCTAGTTGAAATAAAGTATTCATCTAGCCTTTTCTATCTTCTTCTACAACAGCATCCATAATCAAGATTTTGAAGTTAGAACTCCCTGGAGCAAATAGAAGGCACTATACAACCATACATCTTTTTGAAGGCATATGTTCTCTGGAAGTACAGAAAAAAATAATTTCTACAATCTTCAGGCATCTGACCTATATCAGGAAAATACAGGTCAGAATATAGATGGATTATTTTTAAAATTATGAGAATTTTATAATAAAATAATTAAAAGAGTATCCACATTGCTTATAATGCTCAGTTAGCTAGTCATGTTTACTATGGTTTCATAGGAGCTTGTATACATTTCTCATCCTCCTTACTAAAATAATCTAAGTCTTTTAAAGGCAGGAATCCTATCTTATTCATCCTTGTGTCCATTGTACCGCCACTACAATGCTTGGAATATAAAAGGTTTTAGGTTAATATTTCATTAAGTGACTTGTATCTTATAGAAATATAACTAAAACTGAATTATTTTAAAGATAATTGTACTTTATAATCAAAAGATACCATCATTAGTACATGAATACCATAAGATACACAATGTAATAGCAATACAATAATAATAAAAATAAGGACCTCAAGTTAACTAATTACATATTCAAAAATACTATTTCCAAATGAGGTCACACTTATGGTATAGGACTTGAACATAACTTTGTAGGGGACAAAAATCAACGCCTAGCAGTTATGAAAGGAATACAAGAATAATAATAATAGCAGCAGCAGCATCTACCCTTTACTGCATACATACCAAGGGCCAGGCACTATGCCAAGTCCTTTACACACATTCTGTCCACTCACAACTGTCCCTGTATTTTATCATATACATAATATGAAACATATCTTTCTGCTAGGGTAGACAGACTTATTTGGTTCACTTTCACCATTGGCTTGACTTCCTTTCACTTGAAAAAGTGTCTGAAAAAGGATCAATCCATTTGTTTGATCTTACCTCTCTGTTTGCAATGTCAGTATTTACAAAATGACTTTCCAAAGGCTTATACAGTAGGAAAACTTAAGTTTCTATGTATATACCTCATGTAAACCCAATTCCAATTTCATCACTGTTTCAGAAAGATGACGGTTTTCTAACTTAAGTGACTCCAGCTGATCCAAAATCTCCTGAGGAGAGCAAGAGCAGAAAGAACAAATAAATTAATGTAAATAAATCAAACGCATCTTACAGAAATCTTCCACATGTAATTGTCATTAAGCTAAGTTATATTCTTCATTCATATGTACAAAAATACTTTGTAGAAAGATAAAAAACAAAACATAAAAACCAAAATGATGTTGTCAAGGTGAGTTACCATGCACGTGATTCAAATATTCTAGGTTGATCAATCAGGCCGTCAAGGAGCAACACTTCAGTCCACTGGTGAATCCCTCACTGATTTCCTGTGTTAGCCTCCTATAATTGGGCTTCTACCTCCAGCAACATGTAGAACTGCACTCCTTTCACAAAGTAATAACCAATTTTCTGTCCTCATTCTCTTTTGCTTTTCTGCTTCAGTATTCCTGCTGGAAAAGCTTCCTACTTTCTTAGAGAAAACTTGTTTCCTCCCTACTTCCATCACTGCTATTCTTTTTAGCTCCATTTTCCTATCTTTTCTTTCCCTGAATGAGTAGTATCCTAAGCTTATTCCAAGTTTCTGCTCTTCATACTCTGTGTTTTCTCATTATAATCTAAGTCTCTCAAATAAAAAACCAAACTCACTGCCCTCGAGTCAATTCGACTCAGAGCGACTCCTCCTTGGGTTTCCGAGTCAGTATCTCTATGGAAGTAGACTGCACAGTCTTCTTTCCGAGGAGTGGCTGGTGGGTTTGAACCGCCAGCCTTCTGGATAGCAGTCAAATGCCTTAGGCACTACACCACCAGAGCTCAGAGTGTTTCAAATACCAACTTAATCAAGGACTATCTAACCTCGATTTTAATCTTGAACCCCAGGCCTTCTGTGGAATGAATGATTAGATATATCTATATGAAAGCCCAGCCTTTATGTCAAATCAGATGCTAATCAATGTCTCATCTGCCCACTTCCCTGTTTTGTGTACAGATTCACACTGTTATGGATTGGCTTATGCACCCCAAAAAAGTATGTTTAAACCCTACTCTCTGGTACCTATGAATGGGACCTTATTTGGAAACAGCATCTTTCAGATGTAATTAGTTAATATGAAGCCATACCAGAATAGAGTGGACCCTAATCCAGTATGAATGTTTCCTCCCTACTTCCATCACTGCTATTCTTTTTAGCTCCATTTTCCTATCTTTTCTTTCCCTGAATGAGTAGTATCCTAAGCTTATTCCAAGTTTCTGCTCTTCATACTCTGTGTTTTCTCATTATAATCTAAGTCTCTCTCATAAAAAGAGAAGAGACAGAATGACAGACATGGAGGGAAGACAGCCTGGGGCTTACCAGAAGCTGGGAGAGACAAGAGAGGATATTCCCCAAGGGCTTTCAGAGAGAAAAAGGCCCTACTGGCACCCTGAAGACTTCTAGCCTTCAGTATTGTGAGACAATAAATTTCTGTTGTTTTAAGTGAAAATTTATTACGGCAGCCCTAGGAAACTAATACACAAACTCATTATCCTCCCTTCAAATGTATGCGCTATCTTTTCTCTATTTCACTAAAGAGCATTTTCCATTTAGCATTTTCTTACTGACTTAAGTTGGTTATGGATATAGTCTCCTTCTGTACTGTGATGTAGTTATTTCTTCACTGGCTATTGAAAATGCATTTTCCACTCAGTTGCCCAAGCTTGAATCCCGAGTGACATCTTACCTTAACTCTATCTACCTCATCGTCCCTGTACAATCAAATATAAAGTCCAGTCAATTTTTTCCAGCCAAATATCCCTAGAATTCATCAGTTTCTGTCTATCTCCCTTGCCCTCTATTCAGGCTACCATCTTATGCTACCACAATTATCTGAGCAGTCTCTTTGCCTCCTGACTTACTCTCCACACTTTTTCCATAAAGACCTTCCACTCTTACTTAAAGCCATTCTCTACTGACCTGAAGATAATAATAAGACCCCTAACATGGCTGATCAGACCTTTAGGATCTAGCTCTTGCTTACCTTTCTAGGTTCATCTCTTGCTACTTGTTCCACTTGTAATCTAGATTCAACCACAGTAAACACAATACACTCTCTCTTAGAGACCTCTGCATCTCTAAGACCTTTGCCTTGCCTGAAATACTAGTTGTCCCTCCCCTCCCAGCTAAAACCCACTGAACTCTCAGGTCTTCACTTAGACATCGGCCCCTCTGGGAAGCCTCTGAATAGACAGGTCTCAATCTGGTCTCCGTGATGTGCTCCTGAGTGCCCCTCACCACATACTACTGAGATCACCTCTTTGTCTGTGTCTACTCTCACTTCCCTACCAACCCTCATGAGAATGCTTATTCATCAATGTGCTCTTGGCCCCAAACTGATATCTAATAAAAACTTTTATATCTTTAATAAATTCAATCTTCAAAAATAAACTTCAAATTAAAAGAGTTCTTGCTCAGCATCACCTTGTGCTCTTTTGCTTTTTCTTCTGCTTTCTGGAGCTCTGCTTTGAGTCGCTTTTCCATGTCTAAGGAAGAACCTTTAGTGGAAGCAATAGCGATGTCTCTCTGATGCAACTCCCGAGTTAGCTGGGAGATTTCCACCTTCATTCCTTCTAGTGCAGAACCGTAACTCTGTTCGGCCTGCAAAATCTGTTCTTTCAACTACAAAGAAAAAGAAAAGAAAGCAACACAAATTAAGAGAAATGTTTAGTTAGAAAAACATATTAGTAGTTAATGTTTACCTTACCTCAAGATGTGATTTTCTTAGATTATATCTGCAGAAAAATAGCAATTTATCAAGTTGCATATCTGTAGTGAAGGTCAGGTGGTTTCACACCCACAATCGTGTCATTAGATCTCAAGACAGAGACAGATGAGTTATTTGGATGCTGTGGGCCAGTATCAAAGCCCAAGCACATCTGATTAGGAAACAGCACCTGTAGCCTTCGTTCTTTTTTTAGCTACAAATCTAAAAATTTTGCTCATATGATTTTTTCTAGTCCACAGAAGATAATAAACAACAAACAGAAAGACAAAAGGAAGAAAAGGGCTAGAAGTAACCTGAAAGAAGTAAAAACAAAAAAACCAACAAACAGAAAAAAAAAACCACAAGTCAACAGCACATCTGGGGTCCATTAATATAGAGACAAACAGCTCTGCATACCTCAGCAGCCAATGAGGAAACAACTATATCACAGTACAGATGGAAAATATATCCATAACCAACTTAAGTCAGTAAGAAAATGCTAAATGAAGCACACACAATTTAGAAACCTTTTCATCATAAAATGTTTAAAATAAAGTTTGAGAGCTCAAGGTTTCAATCATCTTGAAAGTATGTATATGGCATTTCTGGGGATGCGAAATAAAGAAGGCACTTTCCCCTAAGCCCATTGCAAGTGCTCTTCTACTCCTGAATACCAAGTGGTCTCTGGACTACATTTTTCTCTCTTTAAAAATAAACCCTACAATGTACCAGCTCACACAGATCTTTCCATATTACATACAACTTCGCAATCCCAGGTACACAGATTTTTACTTTTTTAATCTCCGCTCTGTATTCATTGTTATATCCTTCCATCTTCTTTAACTCTTCATATTTTTCCATTAATTCTTGACTCAGCTGTTTACATGTTGCACTCACAGATTCCAAGCTGTAGGAGAAAAATAAGACAACATGTCTAAAACAAAACATGAACCCAGAAGACCATAAAACAATGTTCTAACTTAATGTCCAAGAAATTTCCTCCCAGTACCTTAAACATCACCCTACATCCCAAATTAAAACTCATTTCCAATTTCTTTATCACCGGAGGCAACTAAGCCCAATGTAAACTTTCAGACATGCTCCGAACTTCTGTATTTTCCTCTTGCTTAAAACGTTACTGGTTATAGAATGGTAAAGATTATAGCAACTTTGCTCATTTTCTCTCTCTAGTTATACAGGAACTGCTGTCATAGTCTCAATCCTCACCACACTTATCTCTAATTCCATCCTACACATAGTTGCCAGAATAGCCTACAAAGCGTTTTCATGCTTTGGTAACTCCCTCATCAACTGTAAGAACCTCAGGGGCACCATATCTTCTTATCTCATTGCTCATTTTCCCTAATAAAATCTTTTTGCTCCTAACCTGATGAACTTTACTATCTGCCTATCTGTGGTGCCTGACTTCACTTGGCTCTTCATATATGATCCTCTGACCAAAAGTGCCTTCCTCCCCTACCTGGCAATGAATGTTTAACAAACCCTTTCAGGAATCAGTCCAACATTTACCTCATTAGAAACAACTCAACCCTCATTCCCCTTATTACCTCGATTATAGCTTATTCTCAATTCTTATAGGTTGAATGCAGAAATTTTCTATACTTTTACTTTCAATTGTTCTCAGGTCCTTTAATGCATATATTTTGTCTCTCAGACTGCATATTCTATGATTAAAATAATGTCTTTTACGTCTTATCTCCTTCCTACCTTGCCCACCATCCCCTTAACTCTATGGTTAGGGGATGTCAACTGCCTATATGATTTCAGATCTTTCAATAAATGCTTAACAATCATTTAGACTGGTTTGTCAACATAGCCAACTCACCAGATAAGCTATCATTTGAAAATATCATCTTTGCAACACAACACAAAAACAATTATTTAAATTCTGCCATTTCCTGTAGGGAATAATTTGTTCAAAGTGAATAATACAAGTCATTTGTCCGAAGGGCTTCTTTTTCTACTTGCCTTCTAAAACAAACCAAATAACGTTTAAGCCATGGTTTTATTAATAGACACTGGTGTTTTTATCGACTTATTCCAATTTGACCTATTTTTAAAAATCTAACAACATTCATTTTTTTTTAAATACTTGTTAAGAGTTTACAATGTGCCAAAGACTGAGCTAGAGACAGAAGAAAAATCAGAGATAATTTTGTACTATCTACAGGTGGGAAAATCAGGGTTTCAAGAGGCTAAGGCAGCACTGCAAATCAGAAACAAGAGTCAAAGCTTCAGAGGTTTACAAGGGCATAGTAAAATATATATATTTTTAAAGATTACTAAAGACCATCCTAAAATTCATATGGAATTTCAAGGGATCCTGGATAGTGAAAATAGTCTCGGGAAAAAAAACAAAGTTGAAGGACTCATACTTCCCAATTTCATAACTTACCTACAGTAATCAAAACCATGTGGTTCTGGTATAAAGACATAAAGATCAATGAAACAGAGTTGAAAGCCCAGAAATAAACCTATACATCTATGGCCAAATGATATGACAAGGATGCAAAGACCATTAGCAAAGAAAAGTCTCTTCAACAAATGATGCTGGGAAAACTAGATATCCACGTGCAAAAATATATATATCTAAAAAATAACTCAAAATGAATTAAAGACCTAAATCTCAGAGCTATAATTATGAAACTCTTATTAGAAAACAAGGGGGCAAATTATCATGTCCTTGACTTTGACAAGTTTCTTCAATATGATACCAAAAGCACAGACAACAATAGAAAAAGTTGATAAATTAGACTTTATCAAATTTAAAAACTTTTGTACATCAAAGATAGTATCAAGAAAGTAAAAAGAAATCCCACAGAATGAGAGAAGATATTTGCAAATTATGTATTTGATGAGGGTTTAATATCTAGAAAATATAAAGAACTGCTACAATTCAACAACAAAAAGACAAATAACCCAATTTAAAAACAGCCAAAAGACTTGAACAGATAATTCTCCAAAGAAGATACACAAGTGGCCAATGAGCACATGGAAAGGTGCTCAAATGATTAGTCACTAGGGAAATGCAAATCAAAACCACAGTGAAATACCACTTCCAGCCACTAAGAAAGCTATTATAAAAAAAAAAACAGAAAATAAAGTCTTGGGAAGGATGTGGAGTAATAGGAACTTTCATGTATTGCTGGTTCAGGAATGTAAAATGGTACATACAACCACTGTGGAAAAGAGTTCTGAGGTTCTTTCAAAAATTAAACACAGAATTACCACATGTCCCAGCAAGTCAACTCCTAGTTATATACCCAAAAGAACTGAAAGCAGAAACTCAAATAGATATTTGGACAATAATGTTCATAGCAGCATTATTCAAAACAGCCAAAGGTGGAAACAACTCATGTCCATCAACAGATGAATGAATAAACAAAATGTGTTATATACATACAATGAAATATTATTCAGTCATAAAAAGGAATGAAGCTCTGATTGATGCATGTTGTAATATGGATGAATCTTGAAAACATTATGCTAAGTGAAATAAGCCAGACATGAAAGGGCAAATATGGTATGATTCTACTTATATGAAATATCTAGAATAGGCAAATTCAGAGACAGAAAGTAGTTACCAGGGGCTAGGGACCAGGGAGTGCAGGGAGTTGCTCAATGGATACAGAATTTGTTTGAGGTGATGAAAACATCTGGAAATAGTAGTGATGGTTGTATAACATGTGAATGTACCTAATGTCATTACACTGTATACTTAAAAAGGGCTAATGTTATGTATATTTATCTCAATAAAAAACTTAATATAAAAGATTACTAAGAAGAACCCAAAAACCTAGGAGAAAAATATTAATTTTAGGTCCAATGTCAAAAAGACTAAGCTTTAACTTATTTTACTCAACCTAAAGAGTTAACACATTCCTCAATAACGGTAACAAAGTCTTTTTTACTATAACTAAAGTGAAAAAGGAATAAAACAAAAAATGTTTGTGTGTGTGTGTGTGTGTGTGTGATGGATTGAATTATGTCCCATGTCTCCCCAAAATACGTGTTGTAAATCCTAACTTCTATGCCTGTGCTTATGATTCCATTTAGGAATGGGTTGTCCTTTATAAGGAAGAATTAGTGTAGGGTATATCTTGGCTCAATCTCTTTTGAGATACAGAGGAGATTAAACAAGCAAGTGAGCAGAGATGGGGGAAGAGACATGCCAAGTCACTTGCACATCACCCAGAAGCAGAAGCTCAGAAGAGACAAAGACCTTCATCCTGAGCCAACAGAGAGAGAAAGGGTTCCCCTAGAGCTGACGCCCAGAATCTGGACCTCTAGCCTCCTGAACTGTGAGAAAATAAATTTCTCTTTGTTAAAGCCACCCACTTGTGGTATTTGTATCATAGCAGCAATATATATCTCAGACAGTGTGTCTTTAGTATGTATAAAAAACAAACAAACAAACAAAAAGTACTTAGTGGTTTCCAAAAAACAGAAATAAAAGTAAAAACAAAAAAGTTATGCCAGGTAGTCCCCAACAACTTGAGTTATGATGCATCACACTTAAAACTATATATATATTTTTTTAAATTTACTGTTAGTGATCCATATTATATACAATGTTAAAATATATCTGTACATTTATATGTAGTGTTTTCAACTCCTAAAGGCAAATAAAGATCAGGTTTATAAATACTGATATAAAAGGCAATAATAATGAAAACTAAGGAAAAAAACATGAGGCATTCGACTTAAGTCAGAAGCAATTTAGTCATCAGAATGGAACCCCTTGTAAATTGGGGACTACTTGTACTTAATGATAACCTAAAAATATATACAATAGCAATTTTTATGTTGTTATTAGTTTGCCTAAAGGCTAACAGTGTTTGTATTTTTTTGTCTTTTATAAACAGAAAATGTAACTGTACAAATGATTATGCTTTGTATGTAAAACAAAGTATCAAACTCTTCCCAGTCAAAATGCTTAGAAGTATGACAAACAAAAAAGTTTACAACTATAATGATGACACAAGCTGGCATGGGTATGGTATAGTATAGATCAGACTTCATTCAACATTCAAGAAAATATTAACAACACTGCAAACAGAAAGAAGGAACAATATATGTCAATTGTATCCTCCTAGAGCAACTTCAGTGAGATGGCAGGGAAGAAAGTCTAACTGAAGAAGGTTCTAGGAAGATGAAAAGTGAAGTAGAAGACAGTAAACAAAGACCATTTATAGACAATAAATATAAAGAATATATCGAAGAATTTGGTTTTGAAGGGAAGCAGAGATATGTAGGAGCTCTGGTAGCATAGTGCCTAAGGCACTTGACTGCTAACCAGAAGGCTGGCGGTTCAAACCCACCAAACACTCCTTGGAAGGAATATTGGACAATCTACTTCCATAGTGCTACTGCCTCAGAAACCCAAGGAGGGGTTGCTATCAGTCGGGTCCGACTGGACAGCACATAACAACAACAACAACAACAACAGAGATATGTAGAAGAAACTTGATGAGGAAGTAGGGTCAAAACCAATAAAACCAAACCCACTGACATCACATGAATTCCAACTCCTAACGACCCTATTGGGAGCTCTGGTAGCATAGTGGCTAAAGCACTTGACTGCTAACCAGAAGGCTGGCGGTTCAAACCCACCAGCCACTCCTCGGAAGGAAGGTTGGGCAATCCTACTTCCGTAGTGATACTGCCTCGGAAACCCAAGGAGGGGTCGCTAAGAGTTGGGGCCTACTCAACGGCATATAACAACAACAACGACGACGACCCTATTAACTGCCCCATCTTTCTCCCACAGAGTGGCTGGTGGGTTTGAACTGCTTACCTGCTGGTTAGCAGCCAAGCACTTTAAGGAACATACCACTAAGACTTTCAAGCAGGTTTTTCCCCTCAAGATGGGAGATATTATAGCATGATTTACACCAGTGGGAATGATTCAGCAGAGAGAAGAAAATGACAATGCAGAAGAGAATGAATTAACTGCAGGAACAGTACACAAGTACAAGGGTTGGTCTGAGGAACATCCATCAGTTCAGCCATGGAACCAGTTACAGTCACAGATGCAGGCAAGCTGGTAGATTTAGTGGGGGAAAGACTAGGACGTTCTCCTTTAATTGCTTCCATTTTCTTAATGAAGTAATATGCTAGGCCATTTTGTGGATGCTATATAAAAAACGTTATTTATTCACTAAGAATATTATCACAGATTCTTTGTGCTGCTGTACCAGAAATACCACAAGTAAGTGGCTTTAGAAATCAGAAATTTATTTCTCACAGTTTAGGAGGCTTAAAGTCTGAAATCAGGCCACACTGGCTCTAACGGGAGGCTCTCTCTGTGGGCTCTGGGGATATTTCTTTGTCTCAGCTTCTGTCCCTCAGTTCCTTGGCATCTATCTTTGCCCTTTTGTCCTTGCTTTTCTCTATGCCTAATCTGACCTTTATCTATTTCAAAAGTGGTTAGGTTTAAGAAACATCCCACACAGATATGGCCTCGTTAACATAACAAAGAAAACCCTATTTCCACATAGGATTATATCCACAGGTACAGGAGTTAGGATTTTAACATGTGTTTTAGGGAGACACAATTCAATCCACAACAAATAATCTATTTATTTACTCTATCAATATGACGATCACAAATTCATCTGAAGCACTTGAAAGTTTGTATATAATTATCTACCTGCCTTCAAGACGTGTCACCTCTGCCTGCAGAAGTTCCTCACTACTGTGAGTAAAATCCAGCTGTGAGAGCACATTTTCTAGGTCCCCCTGCCCTTGAGAGCTGTACCTCCTTTCTGACTGAGGCGCCTCTGGTGACCTAGGGAAGAACAAAGAATGACTGTAAAAGACCCAGTATCTTGGGAACTCTTCAGCTGTCTTCCTGCTTTCATTGGGACAGTAAACAGACAAGAGATGATGCTTCTCAAAAAAGTCAGCAGCAATGTGCTCCTTTCACACCTGGAATTTAGCCTATTATTCCAGGCAGAAGGATAAACAAAATGACAAAAATAACTTGGTTGACATTTTATAACTAAGAAACTGAGAAGTTAACAGAAGAGGAGAGTTATGACAAAAATAAAAGTATGCACCAGACTTAAACCAAATAAAAGGAGCTCACATAGCTCCTTTTAATTTCCACTACAAATTTCTCATAGCAGTAATTACATATATCAATAAAATTAGTTTTACAAATTTTTGAAATGAGTTACCTCAATGACTGGCTGTTACTGACAATAAGCTGTTGCTAATGACAATCTATAGGAGCTCTGGTGGTAATGCCTAATGTATTCTGACTACTAACCAGAATTGGTGGTTTAAATCCACCAGTCACTTCATGGAAGGAAGACTGGGCAATCTACTTCTATAGTGATACCTCCTGGGAAACCCAAGGAGGGGTTGCTCTGAGTCAGATCCGACTCAATGGCAATGAGTTTAGTTTTTTTGGTGAATCACAATCTATTTATCAAAGAAGAGAAGCCTTCCAACAGATGCCAACTACACTTCCCTCACATAGTTTCACCATGGATAGGGATTAACCAAGAAGATCTCTAACTTCCCAGGGCCAGAAGACTGGACTCTCTGTTAGGGACCCAAACTGGAGGCAGGAGAAAACGAAACAAAACAAAACTAACCACACCAGGTTTTTATAACAATACAAAAATTCAAAGGCTGAAATAAGAAACCCACATTATGATCAAACAGAAAACTAAGAATGGACAATATTAAAAGTGGTGCTTAATGCCAAACCACCAAGTGCTAAGATTGGTAATATTTAAGATTTAATATACCTTACTAAATCTACTGCATGCTGAGTATCAGTTGCCTTTAATTTTGCTTGTAGCTTCTCCTTTTGAAATCTTGCTTCACGGATGAAATTTTCTTGAGACTGAATTGTTGCTTTCAATTCTCTCTTCTCTTTCCGCAAAATCTGCAACATACTCAGAAAAAAGACACGCATTATTCAAAAAGACACACATTATTCACTTTCACATACACAATACTGCACTATCAGTAATAACAAACATTAATCTATGGGTAGATACATAGGTAGACATTCTGAATGATCAGGTATGTCTATGCAAAAGGGAACATACCCATGACCATATATAAGTTTGGCAGATGATATTTCTACATACATATTTGTATGTGCTGTAAGAATGTCCATATAAATAGAACTGCTGTAAGAATGTCCATATAAATAGAACTAACGGGGCAAAGTTATGATAACTTCTTAGTCACAGCCAACCACCGTGATGGAGTGAGCTGTTGGACCTGTGGGCTTGGGACCATGGTTGTGGGGGACATCAAGCTTAACTGGCATAACATACTGCACAAAAACATTGTTCTATATCCTACTTGGGAGCTCTGGTGGCATAGTGCCTAAGGCATTTGACTGCTAACCAGAAGGCTGGCAGTTCAAACCTACCAGCCACTCCTCGGAAAGAAGACTGGGCAACCTACTAGCATAGTGATACTACTTTGGAAATCCTGGGAGGGGTCACTATGAGTTTTATCTGACTCGAGGGCAATGAGGTTTTTTTTTTATATCCTACTTTGGTGAGTAGCAACTGAGGTCTTAAAAGCTTGCAAGTGGCCATGTAGATGCAACAATTGGTCTCCCCTCATCTGGAGCAAAGAAGAATGAAGAAAACCAAAGACGCATGGAAACGATTAGTCCAAGGGACTAGTAGACCATGAGAACTTCAACCTATGTGACCCTGAGACCAGAACTAGATGGTGCCCATCTACCACTATCAACCACTTGGAAAGGGATCAGTGCAGAATATCCTGAATACAGTGGGAGAAAAATGTGGAATAAAACTCAAAATTGTAAAAAAGACCAGGATTACTGGTCTAATAAAGCCTGGTGAAACCCCCGAGACTAAGGTCCCTAGTTACCCTTTAGGCCTAGAAAAGAACTCACTCCCATGGCTTCCAGCCCAACAACAAACAGGTATATAGGTTGAACATTTCCATCAGGTAGATACACTCCTTGGAACAGTCAATCATGGGAGAATAGAAGGGCAGTATTTGCACAGGGAGATAGCTCAGAGGGTAGGAATGCATAAGAAAGAAGGATACAGGGAAAAGGTAACCACCAGGAGGAAGTGGGAAGGGGACTGGAATTAATGTCATGAAACAAAATGTGTATGAGCTGTTGTATGGAAAATGAATTTGCTCTGTAAACTTCCACCCAAATCACAATAAAAATTTTAAAAAAGAAAAAGAGATATGCATTACAATAATTTTTCCATTTCATAAGGAAAAGAGGCCAGCGAGTCAGACTGTAGTTATGTGATAGGCACAACATTGACAAGGCTATCAATATTTGATCCACAAGCCAGACTGGGGAAGAAACCACAAATTTTTAAAACCCAGCTCTAGATTAATTATTCTTCTCTCTTAAAACACACAGACACATTTCCCCAATTACAGTAACTTTAAAACACACCTCCAACATTTTTTCAGATTCTTTCAATTCTTCTTCTTTTTGCTGCTGCTTCTCCAGAACAGTCATATTGGTTCCAACCAAGTCGTTGACTTTCATAGTGAGGCGCTCTATTTCCAACTCATTGGCACAGATGGTATCGTTGGCCCGCTCCAGCTTACTGCTAAGATGCTGAATTTCCGACTGGCTGGACATCTCCACAGACTCTAACTTCTGTTTCCGATTAGCAAGCTGAGCCTAGAAATCCATAAATTACCATGAAGTAAAAGTGAAATGATAAAAGAATAAACAATGAATAAGGAAGACTAAAATAAAATTGAGTTTCACATTCATAAAAACACAAAGTGTTAGCTTACCAAAAATATGTAAAAAATACTTTAAGAAGGGGTAAGAAAGGTTTGAGAAAGTAAAGGGATTCCTCAGGAGAAGAGATGCTACGCAGGTTCTGAAAAGCTGCATTTCCCTAGCTACTTGTGCGGAAGTTTAACTGTAACCATGAGTCATGATATTAGAAAACTGGAGGCATCTCCTATTTAAAACACAGGAACTATAATGCATTATTCTACTTCTTATGAAAGTTCAAAAATTAAATTTTAAGGTATCACTAAACTTCTTAAAATTCCACGTTTCAAATATTTGTTCTCTCCTACACCAGAGCATGTTGCATGTAGTTAATTATTCAGTTTTAACATCCGTTTCAGGCACATTACAAACACACACATATTTAGATAATTCTGATCGATCACAAATACTTTTTAAATATGGGAATTGTGGGTTGTGGTTCACTGAGGAAAAGAGTGCTTGGAAGGAAATAGGGATTGGTTCTGCTACCATCCCTTGAGCTAAAAGATTTAATTAAATATTCATAAAACAAACCCACTGCCACTGAATCAATTCCAATAATAATGACCCACATTATGTTTCCAAGGCTGTAAATCTTTATGGAAGGCAATTGCCTCATCTTCCTCAGTGAAGCAGCTGGTGGGTTTAAATCACCGACCTTTTGGTTAGCAGCCCAATGTCTTAACCACAATGCCACCAGAGCTCCTTGAATCAAATACAGCACTTATCAATTTAGTTTCTTTCAACAATGTATTTATATATTTACACACAAAATCACTTTAGCAACTGCCTCATAAACCTAAATACAAAGTTCTTGAAGACTTGGGTAATTTTTAGGGTACACATCCCAACTATACTGGTTTTTAGCTCCTAGCTTTCTATTTTTACAAGCTTTAGTTCAGCATCCACACAGGTACTTCGTCTACACACCGAAGATGAATATATCCATCTTATTCTAAATATTACTAAGAACAAAACCCACTCACTGCCATCGAGTCGGATCTGACTCATAGCAACCCCTCGAGTTTCCAAGGTGGTATCACTACGGAAGTAGATTGCCCAACCTTCCTTCCGAGGAGTGGCTGATGGGTTTGAACCGCCAGCCTTCTGGTTAGCAGCCAGATGCCTTAGGCACTATGCCACCAGAGCTCCTTAAGAGCAAAAGCACGTAATTTTAATTTATAAATTTAAGTGGAAATATCTCTAGACTCTATTTCTGCATATTTAAATATTTTATGATACAAGACCAAACTCCTTATATTGTGGTTTTATAAAGTAGAGCTAAATAATATCTACAAGCCAGAGAAGGGCTGGGAGGAGAAAGGCAAAGACACAAACCATACTTGAATAAATTACACATCAAGATTCTAGTGTAAAGATCTAAATTTTTACTAAATGCCTACAACACTGTGAAAGAAGGCTATGAGCACAGGTTTAGATTCATATGCTAGGCATGCAATGGTCTTCAGAATTTTTAAATACAATATGAGTATTTTTTTCCCCAAGAGGAAATCTTATACAGAAACCTGTGCAGAGAAAATAAATGCAGAGAGTGGGGAGAGGAAGAGGAAGGAAAAGGCCAGAGCTTGCTGCACCTCCTCCAACCCTCACTTACCCTACACAGCAGCCAAGTAGCTCTCCAAGGAGCCTCAGGGGTTGAAGAGACACAGCCTGAGAACCACTGCCCACAGGGGCACTCAGGATGAAAGGTAACAAACACATAATTCAAAACACGAGCATTGTTTCATACTTTAACACTATCCCATTCAAATCTGTGATCTTAAAGAAAACTCAATGTTTAAGTTATAGCTAAGGTACCGTTTAATTATAGTTTAACCAGAGGGAGAGGAGAGAAAGGGCTGGGGACTGGGGTTGAATTCAAGAACTCTTCTGGCTTTGTGGTGGTTCAAGAAAAGGACTTTCTCAGATGTAAGATTACTGAGAACAATGTGACAGGGCAACAGGGATTTTTATTTTCCAAAGGATCTCAGTATGAAACAATGGCACTGCAGAGAGCACTCCCTTCCCAGGCTCGCCGTCAGTGTCAACTCCAATTCTGTCAGTGCAGGCAACAGCCTTACAGCATTTCTACCAGGTAGCAGCTTAAGGAGACCATTAAAGGTAAAACTCCCAATAAGAAATTCTTATCACTCCTATCTTTATGTTACTATAAGCTTTTCTAGGTCTGAGCCAACTCAGTGAACTTTGTGATAATTCTACCAAGACAATAAGTTAAGATTTTAATCAAGATCTTACCTTCTTCATAAATTGTGGCTGAAAAATAATACTTTTAAAAATTCATAAAAATGAACAGTTGATTTAAAATTAACTTAAGCAATATCCTACAGCTCATCCAGATATTTCAAAAGGAAAACATACAGTGCAACTTCTACTTTTCTCACATACCATTTTTGAGCCCACCACTCATCTGTCAATTGTCGTACTATGATGACTTGCATGTTGCTGTGAGGTTGGAGGCTATACCACCGGTACTTCAAATACCTACAGGGGTGTCGATGGTGGTCAGGTTTCGGTGAAGCTTCCAGACTAAGACACACTTGGATGAAGGAAGGGGTCATCTACTTCTCAAACAATTGGCCTGTGAAAAACCTTATGAACAGCAGTAAAACACTGTCTGATATATTACTGGAAAACTTTATGAATAGCCATTGCGAAAGAGGCAGGGAGGCCACGTCTTCTGACCTCCTCTAACCCCACAAGTGGAAGACAGAATCACCATCAATAGCCCAAGGCCTATTCCCAAGGCCAGACATGCTGCCTCCCTCCAGCCCTTTCCTCAACCCTGACACCAACTGTTCCTCCCACAGCACCCACCACCTCTCTGCTGGGTTTGACAATTTGCTGCAGTAGCCACACAGAACTCACAGATTATGGGGTTTATTAGGGAAGCACCAGGCTACAATTCAGGAACAATACTCAGTCTCAGTCCGCCATCCCTCCGCCAACAGTCTCTCTCAGTCTCTCTCCCAGCAGTGCATGTCTCTCTCTCTCAGCAATGCATGTCTCTTGGTGTCTCTCAACAGTGCATGTCTCTCAAGAGTGTGTTTCTCTCAGCAACATGTCTTTCTCAGTCAGCAGTCAGAGAGACCTCTTCTGCCTCTAGAAGGCCTCCTTTTGAGCCTAGCAGAGTGGCCAAACTAACCAATCCCAACATCAGAATTCCATACAACTGAGAGAGAGCAAACTTCTCAGAAAATTACTTCATGCTGCTCCCAACAGAAATACCCCAGGTGTATAACTAACAATCAGGAGCTACTTGGTTGCTCATGGCAAATTCCACCACGGAGTTCACAAAGACTTATAGCTAGAAAAGCCACACTGTGTAATTTACTACATTGCAGCCATGAAACATTGTCTGATATAATGCTTAGAAGATGAGGCCTCAGGTCAGGCACTCAAAATATGACCAGGGAAGAGCAGCCTCCTCAAAGTAGAGTCAACCTTAATGATGTGGATAGAGTAAAGCTTTTGGGACCTCTATTTGCTGAAGGGGCACAACTCAAAATGGGAAGAAACACCAGCAAACATCCATTAATAATCAGAACACAGAATGTATGAAGAATGAATCTAGGAAAATTGGAAGTTCTCGAAAATGAAATAGAACACAGAAATATCGATATCCTAGGCACTAGTGAGCTGAAGGGAGCTCTGGCAGCATAGTGCCTAAGGCACCTGACTGCTAACCAGAAGGCTGGAGGTTCAAACCCACCTGCCACTCCTCAGAAGGAAGGTTGGGCAATCAACTTCTGTAGTGATACCACCTTGGAAACCCAAGGAGGGGTTGCTATGAGTCGCGTCCAACTTGATGGCACATAAAAACAACAACAACAACAGTGAGCTGAAATGGACTGGTTTTGGCCATTTTGAATCAGACAATCATTTGATCTACTATGCCAGGAATGACACACTGAAGAGAAATCATCACAAAGACGAACTACAATGATGAACTACAACAAAGACAGTGTTAGGATAATATCCATATGCCTACAAGGAAAACCAATTAATACCACTATTATTGAAATTTACTCACCAACCACCAAAGGCAAAGATGAGGAAATTTAAGATTTTTACCAACATCTGCTGTCTGAAATCAACCAAACATGCAATCAAGATGTGTTGATTATCACTGGTGATTGGAATGCAAAAGTTGGAAACAAAGAAGAATCACCAGTAGTTGTAAAACAGGCCTTAGTGATAGAAATGACACTGGAGATCACATGACAGAATTTTGCAAGACCAATGACTTATTCATTGCAAACACTTTTCAACAACAAAAATGGCAGCTACACACGTGGCCTTTTCCAGATGGAATATACAGGAGTCAGACTGAATACATTTGTGCAAAGAGGCAATAGAGAAGCTTGATACCCTAAGCCCAAACAAGCCCAGAAGCTGACTGGAACAGACTATCAACTGCTCATATGCAAGTTCAACCTGATGCTGAAGTAAATAAAAACAAGTCCACAAGAGTCAAAATATGAACTTGATTACATCCCACCTGAGCTTAGAGATCATCTAAAGAATAGATCTGATGCATTGAACACTAATGACCAAAAACCTGAGGAATTGTTGGATAACATCAAGAACAGCATCCATGAAGAACGCAAAAGATCATTAAAAAGACAGGAAAGGAAGAAAAGACCAAAGTGGATGTCAAAAGAGACTTTGAAACTTGCTCTTGAACAGAGAGTAGCTAAAGCAAATGGGAGAAATTATAAGGGAGATTTGAAACAGAAGATTTCAAAGAGCAGCTCGAAAAGACAAAGTCAGTTATTATAAATGAAATAAGCAAACACCTGGAGTTAGAAAATCAAAAAGGAAGAACACACTTGGCATTTCTCAAACTGAAAGAACTGAAGAAAAAAATCAAGCTT